AATCCCGGGATCCCAGGACTTTTTAAGGTCTCGAAAATCCCGGGATTCATGGCAAGTAGATTTCCCGGGATTTTCGGTATTTGCAATTTGCACTGATGGCAATAATAGAAACTCCTTTTCTTGACCAGTATTGGCTATATTTCTCTTTTTATTTAATAATTAATATTTTTTTATAAACGTGTAGCTCATTATACATATACCTACCACCGCGCGACAGTAAATTTTATACACAAATATTAATATATTCGCGAAACCATGTGCCAAATATAGTAAAATTGCATTTTTAGTTTTTCAGTCTGATGTCACTAATTCAAAAATGATTTAAAAAATTCAGAGAAATGTGCTTAGAGAAGAAGTATGGGTATAAAATTAATGAGGAAAGCCTGTAGAATTTAAACAGATTCAAGTTTATGGTGCAGAAGGGCTGGTAAATATAGAAAATGTCATTTTAAAATTTTATCCCTGAAATTTCGCAATATTTGTTTTTGAAAAAATTATATGTTAAGGGCTTATATAAACTCGATAACATGCTAGAATTTCGTTCTTCTAGCTTTGACAGCTTAAAAATTACCTATTCGTCCTTGTGAATTCAAAAAATTTTCATTTTTTAAATTCTCAAGGTACTTTCCTATTGCATTTGTTACCCATATTTTTATTGCATTGAATTTTTTAAATAACAATCCTGCAGTCAGAGAGAAAAAATAAAAACGCCAGTTTAAATAAAAAATTAGGTTTCAACCCCATTTATTTATTATTTATTACATGGTAGGAGAGCTTCTCAAACAACATAGAAGCAATTTTTCGATTCAAGTTGTTGAAAAGTAATGTATATCTAAATCCCGGGACTAATCCCGGGATCCCGGGATTGTGAGAACGCTATCCCGAAAATCCCGGGATCGGAAAAAGCCGAAAAATTAACATCCCAATTGAACATACATACATATGTATGTATGTAAATCTAATGCACAGTAGAAACTAGTAAGTATGATCATTTTTAAGTCTAGAAACTTAACTATACAAATACTTTTAAAATTAATGAAGTTGAATTGTGAAACTACTCACTTTTTAAATTCAAATTAAAGTCACTGGTCAACAGATGTGCAATAAGGTTTAAGTTTTTTGCAAGCAGTTGCCACTTGATAAAAAATTGTAAAAATGCAGAAAAAAAGATGAGTTTCTGAGGCGGATGATGTGATATGTCAGCAAATGTAGTTACCTTGCCGTTCAGTTCTGCAGCTCTTGTTATCTTACCCAATATCAGATAAAAGAAGCCGAACGATAAGGAGTCGCCTTCTCTGAAATCTCGATTGGTATTGAACGACTCGGACAGGGTCAATCAGTTCGTTTATAGTGGGCTTTTGCCTTCCACAAATCCCCAATAAAAACTGATCGGCAATAGTTGACGCATATGGCGGGGTTATCTTTCTCGTGTGCACATCGCACTTAAATTCCAGTCGTCGGGCCAGCATTCATTCGATCAAATTCTGCATAAGAGTTGATCCTCACCACCGCCCGTGAATTACTCAGAGGGCAGACCGTCAGATCTAGCGAATTTTTGTTTTTCAACCGCCAATTTCTTATTCGTATTTAGTCATAGGCGAATGGTGGGTCACTGACTCCGTCTTCTTCGACTAGGGGCTCGGTTTCATCTTATCCGCCGATATCAGAGCTGTTACAATTCAACGATGTGGAAAAGCGCTCCCTCCATAATTTACGTATGCTCTGGACATTGGTCACCAAGTCACTGTGGTTGTTCGAACAGAAGTTCGGCCTAGTCTTAAAACCTTCCGCATGTCGCGTAGTTTTATGAAGAAATTTTCGGGTATTCTCCTACCACACAGCAATTCTTTCAAACTTCCAAAGAAATGTACTTAAACAATGCTTCGAAATCGAAGTTTTCAGTATTCTTGCTTATTTGCGTATAA